TGTGTGTGTGTGTGTGTATGTGTGTGTGTGTATAACTTCCTTTTCATGGTCTTGTTAATTGTTGTTGTTTCCCAAATTATATTTTATTTTCTCTCATTAATATTTTATATATATGTTTTATTGATTTCTTCAGCCTCCCTGCTAACCTGCCCTGGGGAGTTCTTCGTGTTAGAGCGTCAGTGTCTTCTCGTCAACAGGGAAGAAAAACTCAAGTGGGTCGACGCCCGTACTTGGTGCCGTAACAAAGGAGGCGACCTGGCTATCCCTCAAGAATCTCGCGCTCTCGTGTCTCTGTTGAAATCATTTAAAAGTAAGTGCTGAAGAAACAAGGAAATATGTTGTTATAATATTGCAGTTAACTTTAGACAAAAAGAATGAATAGGCTAATTTTTGACATGTGGAAATGTAGTACTCCAGATATAAAGAGCTACTGAGTAAATTTACTTAATGGCGGAAGGTTCTAATGTTTTACCTTTATATATAAGTACGCTGAACTGATGACTAAAATCATTGGTAAAGGAGCTTCAGCATGTTGTTAGTTTATTAAGTGGGACAATACTTTGTGAACCTTTGATGAATGAAATTTGGTGCACAAGTAGAAGACGGGACAAGTGTTAGTGTTTTATGCTGAAAGTAAATGATCACATAGAACTTATAACTGTATGTGGTCGATACCTTGTGACCTCTTGGGGATAATTCAACTTGTGTTGTATGACGCAAGGCAGCTATCGTGCGGTGTTTTGGGCCAAAAGTCAATATCAAGATCATACAATGGTTTAGGATGACAAATGACCTGTAACCAAACCATCTGGCTTGTGTGCTGTCGATGCTGTGTAATGGACAAGAAAATGACATAAGCTTAGGACAGACAGCTTCATTTTATAGTTTTATCACAAAGAAACTCTACTGTTATGTTGAAGGTCCATAAAGATTAGTCTTATTATTGACAGCATCTCGAGAACAAGCAGGACAAAGGACTTCTAGCTCTTATCAAAATATATTTTGGCTGGCGGTCTTCCTCATAATTAAATTGTTTTAAGGTGAATGTTGTCTGTCCTGAGTGTCTATTATTTGTAACTCTCCAACTTTTTCATGATAATTCTTTTTAAATCCTACTGTAAAATTTAATAGTGTTGATATTTGTTTTCTTTGTAGTTGATGAAAACTTCTGGATGGGTGCGTCTGACCTGGCTACAGAGGGAGTCTTTCTTGACGTGTCAAACAAACCCATCAATTTGGGGTCATCATTGTGGCATGTAGGCGAACCGAGTGGAAGTGAAGACTGTTTCCACCTTTGGCATAATAATGTACACGGATGGAATGATGCTCATTGTACGCGTCATGAATATTTTATTTGTGAGCATCAGCCAATATAAGATATAATACATCAGGTCCATAGGTTAGTTGCGGTTCCTTTGTGACTGTGTGGTCCCTGATGGCTATGGCGGTTTATCTTGTAGAGTCAAGATGTCCTACCAGGCAGGTGTCTCTTTCCTCACTCCTACAGAGATGAGTGGACACTGGACACACACACACACACACACACACTATATACAGTACAGTGTGCGTGAATTTTATTTTTGTACAATATATCAGTATTTTTATTTTCACAGGTGTATGTTATGCCCTCTGTTATCTTCACTATTACAGTTCTCATTATCTAGACCAATAAAGTTTAGCATACCATTATCTGCCTTTTGTTAGTAATATTTTCTTTAACTGGTATAACATGATGTAAGGAGCTAACATGTCTCTTAACTAGGTCAGTACAGTGTTACCAACCACTTACAGTACATGTATTTGGTTGTATAAAGTGCTTACTGTGGTCATTATCACTGACAGATTAGTGATGAGGTCACTTATGAATAGAATTGGAATTGATGTTATATCAAAATAATAAAATGTGTTTGTTCATGTGGCCAACGAGTTATTTATACTTTTTCAAAGTTTGTTCAACATGTCTTATGTGTGAATCCAGTTTCATAGTTGAATGTTGTAAAGTAACAATGTACAGTCCCCTCCAATAGTTCGTTTATGTGGGGCTCGTCAGGTTTGGTGCAGTGTGGCAGCCCTGTGTTTGTTTACATTCGACAGAAGGAAACTCACAATAGTAAACACACTATGGAATCAAAGTAAAACAATATTAAAACAAATATCTCATTGTAATGATTTGTAAAATGTTTATATGATGAGCCCCTGTAAACGCAGATGGATTTAGTAACTAAGTATTTTTAACTGGCACGTTGCTATGTTTAACAGGACCCGATTGACCAGGTGACGGTCGTTAAGGTACATATAACCCAGCACACCTTACAGTGGACGCAACGATAACACCTTCCCCGTGTGTCACCCAAGGTAATGATAATGGCTCACTCTCCCTTGTGAAGAAAGATAATGACAAAATATTTCCCTTTTGTTAGCGGAAACATTTATTTTTAGCTAATACACATTTATCCCTCTTTACCGGTGGACCTTTGCTATATTCCTGTGGCATTTTATATATCTGTGAATTAATGTAACACTCAACTGTTTATATTCTAAAGAGTTCAGTACATTACTTCAGAGTTGATGTCTGTGTGTGTGTAAAAAAGATGTCTAAACACACACACCAAAATTCAGTCATGTCATCTTATAGATTTCATCTCTGATAAGATCCTTGAAACCGTCCAAAGGTTCACCTGGTCTGGGAAGATACACCTTAACATGTCCACAATCCAGGTGTATTTTAGATTGCGGTGTTTTTGTTCTCTTCTGTTTTTTTGGCCTAAATATACTTTAACAACACTCTAGGGACAACCACCATTACACTTGTGACGACTCTCTCTCCTCCTCACTCATAACAACCACTTGCTCCAACCTGACACCGGGAGAAGAAACTGCTTCACGAAGCTACTAGATCCCAGTGAGCACCGATCAGAACCAGTTTCCCATCCGACTATGAGACCGAGGTATCGAGGCAAGAGTGTCTGCCTGGTAAGCTGAGCATTATAATCCCTCTCTTCTTCTACAGCCCCCAACTCTGTTCTTCTCCCTCCCTTTATTTTCTTCATTTGTGTCCCTCTCTCTTTCCTTGACTATCTCTCTCGTTTTATTCTGTTTCTCCTCCTCTCTCTCTATCTCTCTTGTTCCTCGACCATCTCTCTCTCTCCCTCTCTCCATGAACTCTGATCTAGAAGAAGTGAGAAATGCAGAGAGAGACTGACAGTTGTAGCATTAGTAAATATGACAAATTTCGTGACAAGAGGTACCGGTATAGCCAGCATAAGGACAGAGCCAGACAATGTGATGTAGTCGTGGCCAGAATTAGGCTAGGATACAGACACATCTGGCAAGTTAGTAACGCTGTACCCATACCGGAACACTCAGCATGTAAACTTTGTGATAAACCTTTAAAGCATACACTTGAACACTATATTATTGAATGTGACACTGTCAAAGACTTCAGGCCACCTAACTTATTGTATCTTGAACTATGTAATTACTTCATTGAATCAGGTGTGCTTGAGGACATTCTTGCTGTTTATCCCAAATTTGCTAGCCCACACTGATTAGTCTTCAATTAGAATATGACCCCAATGTATGTGATCCACTGACCTATATATGCTGCTGGTGAATGTGATGTATTTCCTTCTTTGTGTACGAACCTCTGTCCTGCGTGGCAGTGAACAGTGGCATTACCCACATGAATCTGACCGACGTATATGTATGTATGTATGTGTGTATGTGTGCATGTGTATATATATATATATATACATGTATATGTGTATGTATATATGTATATGTATGTATATGTGTATGTGTGTGTGTACATATATGTATATGTACTGTCAATGAATATGATGCAACTCTTTGTGTACGAACCTCTGTCCTGCATGGCAGTGAACAGTGACATTACCCATATGAATGTGACCTCTATACATTTATAGTTGTTAATGAATATGATATATTTCTTTGGGTGTGAACCTCTGTCCTGCGTGGCAGTGAGAAGTGATACCATCCTCAGTGTCAAGACCTGACTGAATTACTCAGAATAGGCAAACTGTACTACAAGCTTTGTCAATAAATTTGTTAAACTAAAACTCTCTCTATCTCTCTTGTTCCTCTACCTACTCTCTCTCCCTCTCTCTATCTCTCTTGTTCCTCTACCCCCTCTCTCTCTATCTCCTCCCTCCCGCTCTACCCAGTACAACTGTGTCAACAACGTCCACCCTGTTTGTACTACCATATGATCGTATGACGTCACTCACTGGTTAAGTCGACCCTCTGTCTGTTCATGAGTGTATGTCCTTCATGAGTGGATAAAGTGTACAGGAGATGTTTGTTTTGAGTTTTTGGTTGTGTGGTTTTATATTATACAAGTATATATTTAGGCGCGAGATGGGTTAATATTGGTTTGATAATAGAGTAGTGGATGAGTGGAGCAAGTTACCGAACATCATCATTAACTCGAACACGCTGGGTAGCTTTAAACATAGGTTGGATGGATGTATGAATGATTAGATCGAGGATGGGTGTAAACGGGACTGCCCACTATGGGCCAATAGGCCCGCTGTAGTTTCCTCCATTCGTACGTTCTTATGTTCTTGTGTGTGTGTGTGTGTGTGTGTGTGCGTGCGTGTGTGTGCGTGTGTGTTGTATGGGAGGAGGATAATGGTTGTAAATGGTAGAGTGGAGAGAAGGAATGACTCTAACGGGTGTTATAAGACGAAGGCCGGAAGTTGAAAATGCCCTAACGCACAACAACAAAAACAACAACACTTGTTGCTGCCCAGGCGCCACATTGGCGCTCTTATGTGTGTGTGTGTGTGTGTGTGTGTGTGTGTGTGTGTGTGTGTGTGAGGGTGTGCGTGTGTGCGTTGTGCCATAAACACATGTACGTTCTTGTGTGCGTTCACTTATCGTAGAGTATAAGAGGAGCCACAGCCCACTGTCCAGCATCAGTCCCTCTCTCTACTGCCAGTGACAAAGACCATGGCGCCCCTGTTACTTATCACCCTCTCCCTCACCCTCCTCCTCACTCCAACCACAAGCCTTAACACGGTCGACACAGTTACTCCCTATATCCAGCCAGATGGTCACGAAGTTCGAGCAAGCCTCTTCGTCAACCAGCTGGCGATCATGGAACTGGTCAGCCAACTGAAGCACGGGGTTGGAATCTCCACTACCTCATGCCAAGGTAAACCTTATACTGGACACACACACACACACACACACACACACACACGCACGCACACATCCTCGTTCGTAGGCTTATAATCACCAATTACCGTTTCAGATTATATGGTAATCGTCAAAATTTACTTGTTCATTTGTTTTAGTGTTCCTCTGTTGTCATGGTAATGTAAATACAGCGTCACAGTTTTTCTCTTAAGAATATACAGATAAGAACATAAGAATGGAGGAAACTGCAGCGGGATACAACACAGTCAGATGTTATCAATTGACATCATCATCGTGTTGTCTCGTCAGGTGTTCCCGTAAGTCACCGTCACTTGGTACGGCCTTTGTATCATTTAATGTTAACCCGTTATTGTTGATGGAAATGTAAGTCATAATAAACATGTTGAAAAGGAAAGTACAAGCAAGCTATTAGCTTCCGCATGATATTTTTGTCTTGTAAAGTAGATTATGACTCAGTTTATCCCACATAGTATATTTCTATTTGTGTAAAAAAGGCAACAGATAAGTTTATCTTTATTATTCCAGCCGTGGAGGAGAACTTGGTGAGCATATTGTCGACGGTGAACGAGACGTCGTCAATAGTGTTGCAACTCTCCCAAGAAAACACAGCAGACAGCACCAGCGTGAGGGAGGCGCTGGCGGTGGTGCAGCAGCAGCAGCAGCAACAGCAGACTGACTTGGTTACTTCCCTCCACAACCAACACACAGGTTAGAGCCCAACTTACCACCTAATTTTACTTAAGAACATAAGAATGGAGGAAACTGCAGCAACACCACACATACACAAGCACACGAGTGTTGACACTTTACTTCCTTAAAGAACACAGACGCACAATGTACAGTCACTATACATACTAGCACAGGTACACACTGTATACTCACAAGATACACTCACTAACATACACACACTATACACTCACTATATGTACTAATATAGACACCAATTAAACGTTGATTACTGTAGTCATAGTGAATCCTGTCTATAGCACCGTAGCCAGTTGTGCCGTCTCCTACTCTGTTCTGTCGCTTCATGCCGTCTGTCACTTTCTCTCTTACTAACAGTGTTTATTGTTAAGGAGCAATAATATTCAGGTCATATCCCTCTATTCACTCAGTGTATGTAGAGTTGGATATATCAAAGTCTTCATAGTGACAAGAACTCATAAAAAATTAATAGGAAGACCTAAACAAACTTTTCTCATGGTCTGAAACACGGCAGATGAAACATAATGTTTAAAAATGTAAAGTATTCAGTGTGGGAAATGTAAATAGGTAAACCAGCTATCAGATGAACAACGTTGATAAACTGTAGAGAAGCACGACCGAGATAAACAAATGTGATATAACAAAGATACTTAATCTATCTAACCAGGAGTGAACACATAACAATGGTTTTGAATTAGATAAATTTATATGAGCGAAGGTACAAACAAACACTGGTTTGGAAAAAGTTGTGGATGAGTGGAATATATTTACACTGTAACAATGTCATGTTTTTTTTGAGTAGGTTGTTCCATGTTTAGAGAAATACAGAAAATTCAGCTTAAGCAAAGATTACCCGCCATAACACACTACACGAGTGTCCCCGCCAAGACCAGGAGTGCCTGAGGCATGAGCCAATCACAGTGGCGTGTGAGTGTAGCGTCATGGGCCTAGCTTTGCTGATTGGCTGAAGGCTAAGTTCGTGCCCCCAGCAAGGCAGGCACCCGGTTCAAACCGGGGAGAGGTGTGTGGTGGTGACATGGTAGGTATTTGGGTGGATTCTATTGGGTAAATCCTTAAGTTCCCATTTGTTGTGAGATGCATGGTCCCGTTTAACTAGCTAGGACCAAAGGTTTTGTATTTTGAAGTGTAATTGTCAAACCTTAATAGAAAGTATCGAATAAATACAGTAACCGTTAATAAGAGTCCTAATTGATTCCTCCCTTATTGAGAAAGGTTGATGTGTTATAAGTGTCTTGGTGGTATGTAGTAATACAGTGAGCCATTAGAAATAACATAACCTATCACATGTTATTCCTATTCTTGGCTATTCCCTCCTTTCACCAGTCTCCTCTCTCTACCTCCCCCCCCCCACTGTGGGAAGGTTGACCATAGGGAGGCTCCCTCAACCATAAGCAACTCTCTCTCTCTCTCTCTCTCTCTCTCTCTCTCTCTCTCTCTCCTCGCTCCACCTCCACCATCTCACGAGTATAAAGAACAGAGAAGGAACAGAAAAAAAGAGAATCAGAGAATAACGAACGAGTAAGAGTAAGTAAATATAAAATAAATACGAATAAAAGATGTTTTTATTGTTACATGGTTACAACCATTTTAATTAGACACGTCAAGAGTTCCTTCATGTTTTCAGTGGGGACATAAGTGTGTACAGCCTGGAGTAAGCTGCCCTAAACGGTCTTCCACCTTACATGTAGTATGATGCCTTGTCAGTGATGCCTCTGGCTTAATACACACCGTAAATAATTCACAAGATACACAGACTAACCCTCTCTAAATACTACACACACTAACACAGACCATCTTGTAGAATTCTTTCACAATTTGATTCATTGAAAATAATTTCAGGCGTTCAGCATCAGCTAGAGAGAGTGACGTCTGCCATGGAAGGCTTACAACAGCAGATATCACAGCTACAGGAGACGACTCAACGTAAGTTGCTTTACTTGCTGCAGTATAAAACTTCTCACGTCTTCTTGTTCTCTTCAGTCATGTCTCCATTGTCTTTCAATATACGATTTTGTTAAACCAATGATTTTTCTGCCAATTTTGATTCCCCTTTTGAATTCGTTAACCTGTTTAATATATTCAGTGATTAAACTTAACTTCAGTTGAAGAACTTCCTCCACACTCATCTTGTTGATCTCTGTTGGCGGGGAATTCATTAACCTGTTCATCCTTATCTAATTTTCCTAAGAATTTATATTTAATTCAACTTTTTTGTCTGTATCTGTCTGTTGTTGTTATTCACCTAAAACTTGTGCCGGATTTTCTGTGAATATTATGTAGTAACTCCTGATAATCTTACGGCGGTAGAGTGAGAGAAACGTTTATGCCAGCACCACTGTAGAGAGTTTACGGTCACTTGGGCAACTTGACTCTAATACAAGTAATTTATCTTAAAAGAACTATATAGACTTTAATCACATTTTATTGTCTCACAGAACAGTAAAACAAGTTAAGTGTTTATTGAAATGAAGGAATTTAGATAGCAAACAATTAATTATTGGTACTGCGTGATTAAATATTAACTGTGTATTGTCCCGAGTGAATGAATGACAATTGTATTTGCTGGCAGTTGGAGGTTAAGAAGGTAATTACTGTACCGTACTTTATGAATTTTGACATCATCTTTGTTTCCTTTTTAAACAGAAGGATGAGAAGAGCGCTGTTCCAAAAGCTGTCAATGTTCTTTACTAATTTTAGTAATTCATAAATAAATCAACACTACAGCAACTACACAATCATCTACACTCCAAACAAATTTATACGTTTTTTGTGTATAAAGTTAGTTTTCATTAGTTTTGATGGGTCATGTCATGTCACGTCATGTCATGTCATATTTTACTTTGGGTTTATTGGCAGCTTACACTGTTTGGTCCTTGTTTAGTTCATGTATTGATTTAACATTGTACGAGTATGTTATAACCTTACTTTTATTATGCTTACTGCTGCCATACATTGTCTGGTCTGAGTTGGTTGGTGATGGAGACAATATTATCGTGATGAAATAAACCAAATGTTTTATCTTTCATCATATAACCCCTTTTGCTAAGGATTAAGTCTAGCTAATATTATTCGAGACCTTTCGATGTGAATTAACGAAAGTGTTTGGAACGTGTGTGTGTGTGTGTGTGTGTGTGTGTGTGTATGTGTGTGTGTGTGTGTGTGTGTGTGTGTGTGTGTGTGTGTGTGTGTGTGTGTGTGTGTGTGTGTGTGTAGCTTCCTTTTCATGGTCTTGTTAATTGTTGTTGTTTCCCAAATTATATCTTATTTTCTCTCATTAATATTTTATATATATGTTTTATTGATTTCTTCAGCGTCCCTGCTAACCTGCCCTGGGGAGTTCTTCGTCTTAGAGCGTCAGTGTCTTCTCGTCAACAGGGAAGAAAAACTCAAGTGGGTCGACGCCCGTACTTGGTGCCGTAACAAAGGAGGCGACCTGGCTATCCCTCAAGAATCTCGCGCTCTCATCTCTCTGTTGAAATCATTTAAAAGTAAGTGCTGAAGAAACATGGAAATATGTTGTTATAATATTGCAGTTTACTGTAGACAAAAAGAATGAATGGGCTAATTTTTGACATGTGGAAATGTGTTATTCGTTATAAACAGGAGGTAGTACTCCAGATATAATGAGCTACTGAGTAAATTTACTTAATGGCGGAAGGTTCTAATGTTTTACTTTTATTGTATAACCAGAAATATATAAGTACGCTGAACTGTTGACTAAAATCATTGGTAAAGGAGCTTCAGCATGTTGTTATTTTATTAAGTGGGACAATACTTTGTGAACCTTTGATGAATGAAATTTGGTGCACAAGTAGAAGACGGGACAAGTGTTAGTGTTTTATGCTGAAAGTAAATGATCACATAGAACTTATAACTGTATGTGGTCGATACCTTGTGACCTCTTGGGGATAATTCAACTTGTGTTGTATGACGCAAGGCAGCTATCGTGCGGTGTTTTGGGCCAAAAGTCAATATCAAGATCATACAATGGTTTAGGATGACAAATGACCTGTAACCAAACCATGTGGCTTGTGTGCTGTCGATGCTGTGTAATGGACAAGAAAATGACATAAGCTTAGGACAGACAGCTTCATTTTATAGTTTTATCACAAAGAAACTCTACTGTTATGTTGAAGGTCCATAAAGATTAGTCTTATTATTGACAGCATCTCGAGAACAAGCAGGACAAAGGACTTCTAGCTCTTATCAAAATACATTTTGGCTGGCGGTCTTCCTCATAATTAAATTGTTTTAAGGTGAATGTTGTCTGCCCTGAGTGTCTATTATTTGTAACTCTCCAACTTTTTCATGATAATTCTTTTTAAATCCTACTGTAATATTTAATAGTGCTGATATTTTTTTTCTTTGTAGTTAGTGACACCTTCTGGATGGGTGCGTCTGACCTGGCTACAGAGGGAGTCTTTCTTGACGTGTCAAGCAAACCCATCAATTTGATGTCACCATTGTGGAAAGAATCCGATCCTAATGACTACGGCGGAAATGAAGACTGTTTCTTCATACTAGATTATTCCGGTGTATACAATTGGTATGATGCTCGATGTACACGTCATGAATATTTTATTTGTGAGCATCAGCCAATATAAGATATAATACATCAGGTCCATAGGTTAGTTGCGGTTCCTTTGTGACTGTGTGGTCCCTGATGGCTATGGCGGTTCATCTTGTAGAGTCAAGATGTCCTACCAGGCAGGTGTCTCTTTCCTCACTCCTACAGAGATGAGTGGACACTGGACACACACACACACACACACACACACACTATATACAGTACAGTGTGCGTGAATTTTATTTTTGTACAATATATCAGTATTTTTATTTTCACAGGTGTATGTTATGCCCTCTGTTATCTTCACTATTACAGTTCTCATTATCTAGACCAATCAAGTTTAGCATACCAATATCTGCCTTTTGTTAGTAATATTTTCTTTAACTGGTATAATATGATGTAAGGAGCTAACATGTCTGTTAACTAGGTCACTACAGTGTTACCAACCACTTACAGTACATGTATTAGGTTGTATAAAGTGCTTATTGTGGTCATTATCACTCACAGATTAGTGATGAGGTCACTTATGAATAGAATTGGAATTGATGTTATATCAAAATAATAAAATGTGTTTGTTCATGTGGCCAACGAGTTATTTATACTTTTTCAAAGTTTGTTCAACATGTCTTATGTGTGAATCCAGTTTCATAGTTGAATGTTGTAAAGTAACAATGTACAGTCCCCTCCAATAGTTCGTTTATGTGGGGCTCGTCAGGTTTGGTGCAGTGTGGCAGCCCTGTGTTTGTTTACATTCGACAGGTGGAAACTCACAATAATAAACACACTATGGAATCAAAGTAAAACAATATTAAAACAAATATTTCAATGTAATGATTTGTAGAATGTTTATATGATGAGCCCCTGTAAACGCAGATGGATTTAGTAACCAAGTATTTTTAACTCGCAGGTTGCTATGTTTAACAGGACCAGATTGACCAGGTGACGGTCGTTAAGGTATATATATACCCAGCACACCTTACAGTGGACGCAACGATAACACCTTCCTCGTGTGTCACCCAAGGTAATGATAATGGCTCACTCTCCCTTGTGAAGAAAGATAATGACAAAATATTTCCCTTTTGTTAGCGGAAACATTTATTCTTTGCTGATACACATTTATCCCTCTTTACCGGTGGACCTTTGCTATATTCCTGTGGCATTTTATATATCTGTGAATTAATGTAACACTCAACTGTTTATATTCTAAAGAGTTCAGTACATTACTTCAGAGTTGATGTCTGTGTGTGTGTAAAAAAGATGTCTAAACACACCAAAATTCAGTCATGTCATCTTATAGATTTCATCTCTGATAAGATCCTTGAAACCGTCCAAAGGTTCACCTGGTCTGGGAAGATACACCTTAACATGTCCACAATCCAGGTGTATTTTAGATTGCGGTGTTTTTGTTCTCTTCTGTTTTTTTTTGGCCTAAATATACTTTAACAACACTCTAGGGACAACCACCATTACACTTGTGACGACTCTCTCTCCTCCTCACTCATAACAACCACTTGCTCCAACCTGACACCGGGAGAAGAAACTGCTTCACGAAGCTACTAGACCCCAGTGAGCACCGATCAGAACCAGTTTCCCATCCGACTATGAGACCGAGGTATCGAGGCAAGAGTGTCTGCCTGGTAAGCTGAGTCTCTTTGCGCCCTACGGGGTGCCTCTTCTGCCGGGGTGTGGACGAAGGATTGTATTACGGACTACTGCTGGTGGTGTTGTGATGGTTTGCTGGTAGTGGACTACAGCGGTAATCCCTGGTTCATTGCGGTTGGCCCTCGCAGCCTCGACATGTTACCTGAGCTGCCATTTCTATCAGGTTTTTGTGTTGTTTATAGTATGTGTATTTAATGTTTAAAGTAAGAATAATCAGGTTATATTCTGGTGAGATTTGTACTTTTGTGTTTTACTTGTGTTATGTAATGTACCTAATTAGCTATATTAATCAATCCTTTATAATATAAATGTTATTAAATGACTCGGTTGACATAATACTCTTATCTTTCTAATAACTTAAATTAGTGTCATGATAACAGTGATTCTTCTGAGAGCTCCTTACTTGCTGCATCCACGTATTTCAACCCCTAGATTATTCACTCATTATTTTAACTTGTCAACTTTGCTTTTCCTCAATGTTGTTTGTAGCAAGGAGGGACATCACTCACTGTTAAGAGATGACAACATACAGTACATGACAATATATATGAAAAGAGCCACATGACATCAATCTAACCAGACATTACCTGATGAAATCTATAATATAAAAAAGAGAGACAATTTAGACACACGGGACATGGAACACCTCTTATACCACAGAGACAACACCTGTCATTAACAAGTTCACTGGTGGACACGACGATAATATTCTGTAGCTAGTAACAAGTCGAGAACCAACATTGATGCCTGATAACTGCTAGTAACAAGTCGAGAACCAACATTTATGCCTGATAACTGCTGGTAACAGGTTAGGTTAGTGTTCGCCAACTATATCTGATGTTTGATAACTTCATTACTGTACCCCTGAAGAAATATTTTGATACGGTAAGAGAATACTGACCATCATTATGCTGATCTTACACAGCCCCTCACACCACATACTCTGTGTGTACATAAGAATAGTAATTATGCCTTTAACTAGGTGATTAGAATCGTTGGTTTGTTGAATTAGATGGCCAGTGACCTATGGGGGAAATGATCACACCGATAATGACAAGACTATAAGGAATGAACGTATAATAACAGTTAGTATCAGTGGTAAAGTCGTCGCCTTAATAAACGTATGTGTGTGTAGATGGACAAGTGTGTTATTAAGGGGTTGGCGCCAGTACTATTTAAGGCGTGCAGAGGTCATCACTCCACTTGTTCCGAACCATTGGTCTCATGAGTGTCCGCTCACCCCGCCTCTGTCCTCCAGGTCGTGACCACTCAAGGTCGACCTGACTCTTGGCCAAGGCACACAAGTTGCTTCCTACACCTGTACTGCTTCCTACACCTGTACTGCTTCCTCCACCCACCTGTACTGCTTTCTACACTTGTACTGCTTCCTACACCCACCTGTACTGCTTTCTACACTTGTAGTGCTTCCTACACCTGTATTGCTTGAAACCGGATTTTCTATAGGTTTAAGCGTTTGGTAGGCTGTTACAGTGGTAGGAACAGTAGTACAGGATTCCGTAGTAATCAATACAGTAGTACGGGGGAGTGGCAGGTTGTTACAGTGATTCAGGATACATTTGGCCGTAGTTTATATCCAAGAGGTCAAAGCATGGCGATATCAATACCAGAAATTATAAATAAGATAAAAAAATGCAAAGTCTCCCTCGACCTGTGTAAATAAATTTGTCCTGACTGTCTTAAATCGCTGTTGACAATGTAGGCGGTGGCGGGAAGTAAACAAACAATTCCACCAATCTGCTGTAGTGATGCTGTTGACGATTACATTTTTTTTTATGTTTTTTTTTGTGTTTTTCTTATTTTTCCTGTTTGTAAGATGTTCACCGTACAGTACACTTCCGGGAAATGTTGTAAATATGGAGAACTGTACAAGAGTGTTCAGGGTGTAGGCTCTTGCTGTACACAGCCTCTCTGAGAAAAACATCAGTGTACATGGTTAATACTTACTTATGGGTGAAAATTATTCGTAATGTATTGGTTTAATGAAGCAATCAGTGTGTGTGTGTGTGTGTGTGTGCAGATGAACAAGTGTGTTATTAACGGCGTGGCACCAGTACAGTGCAGGGTCATCACTCCACTTGTTCCGAACCATTGCTTCTGTGTCCGCTCACCCCGACTCTGGCCTCCAGGTCCTAGCCCTTCAAGGTCGACCTGACTCTTGACTTAGGGTTGAAGTTCCTCCTAACATCCATTATTACGTGACTGTTGTCTCTCCCTCTGAGGGCCAGGCGAGGGCATCCATTTTGGTGTTGTGGGTTCCTGAAGAGTATATGACTCTACCTTCTGCTGAGCGTCATTTGAGTTATCTGATCTGTGTATGTTGTTGGTCGGATGAGGATAACGAACTCCTGCTGTAGTCTACTGAAGGATTTGATAGTCTCGTGGACCAGGCCAGTGTACCACCATAGTGCTGGACCGGAGTTGGTAATGGTGGTGTGTGTGTGCGTCTCCTGCCCCCCTCCTTCTTCTCTCCCAACCTTTTGCTTCTTATCCTCTTCTACCCTTCCCCTCTCTCTCTCTGTTCCTATTTCGTCATCATTCTCTCCATTTTCCCCTTTCTCTCCTTCTTTCTTCTTCCTTTCCCCTCCATCCTCCTTCCCTTTTTACTTACTCCTTTCCTTTCCCTCCTTCCTCCTTTCCTTTCCCTTCTCCTCCTTCCCCTTACCCTTCCCTTATTATTCTCATTCTCAACCCCAGGGGCGTGACAGCTGGTGACCAACTAATTAAACAGATCCTTCTCATAATGGTTCATAAATTCATACTGATGGTTCCTGCTGATGGAGGGCGTGTGGGCGTGTGTGGGTGTGTGCGCGTGTGTGTGTGGGCGTGTGCGCGTGTGTGTGTGGGTGTGTGAAATGATCGAAGTTGTGGTGTGGTGATTGAGTGTATGAGTGTGCATTATCAAATAGACCTCAATTGTAGCAGAGTAGTTGGATTAAACTTAACTCTTAATATTATAGTCTACCACACAAACTCATCATAAAAAACGAATATGGTTAAGAGTGTAGTGAAATGTGGCGGGTATAATGCGTAGAGTATTATGGTGTTGAGGAGCAATGATGGTGTTTTGGTTTCATTTAAGACGCGTAACTAAAGTGTGTGTGTGTGTGTGTGTGTGTGTGTCTTAGGTAATTTTTGTATGCCAGTGATAAAGTACTAGTGTCTTATATTGGCCCACTGATCCTTCCACCATTCCCCCTTCCCCCTTACCCCTTCTCCCCTTACCCCTTCCCCCTTCCCTGTACACCTCCTCCCCTCCCTCGCCTGATCCCACTATTCTATCTGGTGTTACATAGTGTTACGTCTTGGTGTTACATAATCTTTTCCCTCTACAATTCCTTATCGTTACAACACAAACAACACTCCGCTCTGTTAACACTTCTCAACCTCCCAGCGTTCAGGTCCTTGATATGAATGACTCAGGACGAAGAATGACGTTAAAAAAAAAAAACATTCTGTCAAGTGTACAAGCATGCCTTCCGCAACACAACCCATGACGTCAAAGGGAATGGGCGGGTGACGTCACTAGATCCATCGTGACATCACCGGTTGAACGTAAACAAACACCTCGGCTGGGCACCACATCCCCCCTCCGACAGCGCTTCCCTCGGGCTAGTCATGGTGAGGCTAAGATGAGGAGAGAGAGAGAGAGAGAGGAAACAAACGCGACCTTGATGAACACTGATTTAACTCTGCTCGGGATGTTAGCTGTCAGGTGACGTGACATGGTGGATGGAGGGAGAGAGGGAAGATGGAAGAATGGAGGGAGAGAAGGAGTAACTAAAGGAGAGGAAGAAAGTAAAGGGAAAGGAGAGAGAGTGTAATTAATGAACCAGGTGTGAAGGAGGGAGGAGTGAGGGAGGGAGGAGTGAGGGAGGGAGATGTGAGGGAGGGAAGGAGTGAGGGAGGGAAGGAGTGAGGGAGGGAGGAATGAGGGAGAGAGATGTGAGGGAGGGAGGAGTGAGGAGTGAGGAGTGAGGGAGAGGTGAGGGAGAGAAGGAGGGAGGAAGTAGCCCCCCCCAACACCTACACCTGACCTCCCTATTTTTACCTCATCATGACTATTTTATTTAACCCCCCTCACCTCTCCCCTCTCACCCCCTCACCTCTCCCCTCTCACCCCCCTGTCCCTTGGTAGATCACACGTGCTTCCGGGAAAACTTGTCTGACTCACTACAAGCCAAAATTATCATCGTCTATGGACAGACAAACAGACAGACAGACAGACAGACAGACAGAATCGGCATATATGTTTACATTGATTCAGTACAGGTAGACAGTACAGGTAGGCAGTACAGGTAGACTTTAATGCTATATAAGGGGATGCATCTGCTAATTAAGACAGCTCTGTGCCGCTTCTGTTACAATCTATGATGTAACTTTAACTTAGGGTAGGTTAGGGTAGGTTAGGTTAGGGTGGGTCAGGGCAGCATACGTTAGGTTAGGTTAGGGTGGACAGAAATATGCTTTTCTGTGTCACCAGCTTGAAATGTTAATTACTCGCTCCGTCACCCACTCGCTCCGTCACCCACTCGCTCTGTCACCCACTCGCTCTGTCATCCACTCGCTCTGTCATCCACTCGCTCCGTCAACCACTCGCTTCCTCGCCGCCTCACCTGTGCCTCTTCCTTCCACAGGTGAGTGGGGATGGCATACACACACACACACACACACACACACACATCATGTATGAATATTATTAAACCTTCAGTCCCCCTCCCCTTCCTCCCCCCTCCTCTCACCCCTTCCCTCCCCTCTCCTCATTAGATGAATTACAGGTAGACCGAGGCGGGACCAGGTGAGATAATTAACTCTCTGACTCACCTGCTTGTGGTATACGAGACCCATCACCATATGAATGAAATACCTTGATGATGTAATACTGGGACCCCCTCACACACACACACACACACACACACACACTTAGCAGGAGAGACAACCTCTTATCGTTGCTATCTCACACAGATAAGGACAAAATATATGAAAGTACAGATTTAAGTTATCTAAGGTACCAAGATTTAGTTAAAAAGACAGGGGAGACTTTAATAACGGCGTTAATACACTCAATAAATGCCTACGGTGTTTAAGGTTGACGATACCCTCAACACATAGGTAAAAATGTACATTACTGATGAACTAACACTACAAAAAAATATTAACAAAAACACTAACTGGCAACTTGGATGACGTTGAAGAAGAAAACGGGTTTAATTTTTCTTTCTCTTCAGGGTAAACTTATATTTTCTCTCAAGACTTGGGTTTGCTTAGGAAGTAGTTTGCTAAATTGGTGAATTTGGATTTTAAGCAGAGTAAGAGAGAGAGAGAGTAAGAGAAAGAGAGAGAGTAAGAGAGAGAGAGTGTAAGAGAGAGAGAGAGTAAGAGAGAGAGAAAGTAACAGAGAGAGAGAGAAGCGAAAGAAATAGAATAATTAGACAAGTAATGAGAATAAAGAAGAAATTTGAGAACGGGAGAATGAAAAAAAGAAGAAAATGAATCACAATGTTAATCTTAATAATTACCAAAAGGAGTAATGGAGGGGCGAATCTGAGTTACGTGGGCGTGTGAACGATTTTAGGCGTGGGTGTGTGGAGGAGGAAGGCGCGCATGTGTGAGGTGGGGGAGTTGGAGAGTATGTGTGTTGATCGTGGTCGTGGGAGGAGGAGTGGGGAGGAGGGGCCTCGTCGTGGGGAGGAGGGGCCTCGTCGCCTCGTCGTGGGGGAGGAGGGGCCTCGTCGTCGGGAGGAGGGCCTCGTCGTGGGGAGGGGGCCTCGTCGTGGGGGAGGAGGGGGCTCGTCGTGGGGGAGGAGGGCCTCGTCGTGGGGAGGAGGGGGCCTCGTCGTGGGGGAGGAGGGGGCCTCGTCGTGGGGGAGGGAGGGGGCCTCGTCGTGGGGGGAGGAGGGGGCCTCGTCGTGGGGAGGGCCTCGTCGTGGGGGAGGAGGGGGGCCTCGTCGTGGGGAGGAGGGGGCCTCGTCGTGGGGGGAGGAGGGGGGCCTCGTCGTGGGGAGGAGGGCCTCGTCGTGGGAGGAGGGCTCGTCGTGGGGAGCCTCGTCGTGGGGGAGGGAGGGGCCTCGTCGTGGGAGGAGGGAGAGGGGGGCCTCGTCGTGGGGAGGAGGGGGGCCTCGTCGTGGGGGAGGAGGGGGCCTCGTCGTGGGGAGGGAGGGGGCCTCGTCGTGGGGGAGGAGGGGGAGCCTCGTCGTGGGGGAGAGGGGGGCCTCGTCGTGGGGAGGAGGGGCCTCGTCGTGGGGGAGGAGGGGGCCTCGTCGTGGGGAGGAGGGGGCCTCGTCCTCGTCGTTGAGAGGAGGTGTAAACAAGGTATATAGCTCTGGGGGGTGAGTGAGGGGGCACAGTTATGGGTAGGGGGTACGGTGTTTGATTGCTGCCCAACTCAGGAATTTATAAACATTGGTGTAACGGAAATAGCTGAAGTTACTTCCTCAAGGTGAATGAGTTTCCATGTTTTTCCTTCATTGCTTCCTTCCTTCCTTCCTTCCTTCCTTCCTTCCTTCCTTCCTTCCTTCCTTCCTTCCTTTACCTCTCACCTCCTGCCCACATCCCCCTCACTACTACTACTACTACTACTATTTTTTTTGTTAGGCCTCCATCCTCCCTTTATAGCCATACCTTCGCCGCCATTTTATTAACTATACCAACAGCCAAACAGTTTTAGAATCTGTAAAACTATACCATTAGAAAGAGATGACGATAACATACAGGGGTTACACTAGCCACACGTCAATTACAGCATCTAGTAAACATAGTGTCCACATTAGGAGGGAACAGTG